TGTGGTGGTGATGGTGTGTCATGTGTGGTGGTGATGGTGTGTCATGTTTGTGGTGGTGATGGTGTGTCATGTGTGTGGTGGTGATGGTGTGTCATGTTTGTGGTGGTGATGGTGTGTCATGTGTGTGGTGGTGATGGTGTGTCATGTGTGTGGTGGTGATGGTGTGTCATGTTTGTGGTGGTTTACAGCTCAGGTGTCGTCTGAGGACCTGCGGGCGTCAGTGACAGGCGGGGACCTGGGTGCCGAGTACACCTTCGACCAGTTCCACTTCCATTGGGGCAGCGACGACAAGCTGGGAGGCTGTGAGCACACTGTTGACGACAAGAGGTGAGTCACACACCTTGGAACCTTGAGTCACCCACGCTGAAGTTTGAGTCACATTTGGCCTGAAGTATAAATTCATTTACTTCATTTCACTACCAAAATCAGTTAGACTCTCGACTGATAACAATAACTAACAGAACAACGTAAGTATAGTTGTCATATTCTGATTAACACAACACAAAAAAATAGTCCTCAGTACAATATCTTCCAGAGAAAACGTCAGATTTAGTCTTGTCTTTCCATAAAGTCACAGCCAATGGAAACATCAGATTACAATCGTAGGAAACATTAATGATATAGTTCCCACTTCAGTGTAGAACAGATCAGTTACATCATCGCTGGCACAATAAATAACACAGACCTGGTGTTGACAACCATTAGAACACACTAGATATAAACCTATCTCACTCTACTGCGACAGGTGGGCTTCAGAGCTTCACCTGGTGTTGACAACCATTAGAACACACTAGACATAAACCTATCTCACTCTACTGCGACAGGTGGGCTTCAGAGCTTCACCTGGTGTTCACAACCATTAGAACACACTAGATATATACCTATCTCACTCTATTGCGACAGGTGGGCTTCAGAGCTTCACCTGGTGTTCACAACCATTAGAACACACTAGATATAAACCTATCTCACTCTACTGCGACAGGTGGGCTTCAGAGCTTCACCTGGTGTTGACAAACCATTAGAACACACTAGATATAAACCTATCTCACTCTACTGCGACAGGTGGGCTTCAGAGCTTCACCTGTGTTGACAACCATTAGAACACACTAGATATAAACCTATCTCACTCTACTGCGACAGATGGGCTTCAGAGCTTCACCTGGTGTTCACAAACATTAGAACACACTAGATATAAACCTATCTCACTCTACTGCGACAGGTGGGCTTCAGAGCTTCACCTGGTGTTCAAACCATTAGAACACAGTAGATATAAACCTATCTCACTCTACTGCGACAGGTGGGCTTCAGAGCTTCACCTGGTGTTCACAACCATTAGAACACACTATTAGATATATACCTAACTTCACCTCCCCACTGCGACAGGTGGGCTTCAGAGCTTCACCTGGTGTTCGCCACAACCATTAGAACACACTAGATATAAACCTATCTCACTCTACTGCGACAGGTGGGCTTCAGAGCTTCACCTGGTGTTGACAACCATTAGAACACACTAGATATAAACCTATCTCACTCTACTGCGACAGGTGGGCTTCAGAGCTTCACCTGGTGTTGACAACCATTAGAACACACTAGATATATACCTATCTCACTCTACTGCGACAGGTGGGCTTCAGAGCTTCACCTGGTGTTGACAACCATTAGAACACACTAGATATAAACCTATCTCACTCTACTGCGACAGGTGGGCTTCAGAGCTTCACCTGGTGTTGACAACCATTAGAACACACTAGATATAAACCTATCTCACTCTACTGCGACAGGTGGGCTTCAGAGCTTCACCTGGTGTTGACAACCATTAGAACACACTAGATATAAACCTATCTCACTCTACTGCGACAGGTGGGCTTCAGAGCTTCACCTGGTGTTGACAACCATTAGACCACACTAGATATAAATCTATCTCACTCTACTGCGACAGGTGGGCTTCAGAGCTTCACCTGGTGTTCTACAAGACGGAGTACGGCAGTATGGAGGCGGCACTGAAGAAGTCTGACGGTGTGGCGGTGTTCGCGGTCTTCCTCGAACATTCTCAAGAGGATAATCCCAGCCTGCATAATGTTGTAGCCGGGCTCTCCAGCATCACAAACCCGGGTCAGTGCTGGTGTTTATGTAGTAGTAATAATAACAAATAACATCCAGTATTGTAACAAGAAAACTACTAATAATGACAACATGATGGACAAATTTAAGATAATAACAAAAACAATAACAGGAGCCATGACTAATGTCAATGTCACCCTACAGAGGACAGCACCACCATCAAGCCCTTCCCTCTGATGGAAATCCTTCCTCGTTCCCTCACTGAGTTCTACCGCTACCAGGGATCCCTCACCACCCCCGGCTGTAACCAAGTCGTGACCTGGACAGTGTTTAAGCGTCACATCACCGTCTCTTCCGCTCAGGTATTGTCTAAGTCTTCACTTACTAATGAGGTCAAAGGTTGGAGGAGTATAGTCATTAGTGCAGTTGCCTTGTCTTATATATTTATTTAAGAAACTAAAAGAAACTAAAAGAAATGAAATAAAAAAGTTTATGTCATTCTCCCACACGCAGCTGAAGATGTTCAGGTCGCTGAAGTTTGAGGACGGTGAGGCCATGCAAGACAACTTCCGCCCCATTCAGCCACTGAACGATCGAGAGGTGAGAGAGAGAGAGAGAGAGAGAGAGAGAGAGAGAGATAATATAAAACATAATAGTATATCCATAAAAGTTAACTACTGTTCATGTATTAAAATAGTTAATTAATCCAGACGCTTATCAGTAATATTGTTTTGTTATTTTTCGCAGATCTTCCAGGGGTTGGAGGAGGAAGATATCATCAAACATTAAACGGTTTAAATTAATTAGTACTTAACTTAACTTAACTTAAATATTTACTAACTATTACTGTTGCTATAACCTAAAACATTATTTATAATCATTAATTAATATTTATTAGTGGATGTCCTCTTAGTTATTATTTCTAGGTCATTAGCAGTAATTATATTAATAACCAAACACAGATATATCAATCACCTTTGTCAACCACCACCTTATGTATTTATTTGTTATCATTAATTTGTATTTATCTGAATAAGCTTTGTTTTCATGCAAATATTATGGAAATTAATCATTATGCAAATTACAGTATCGTGAATACCTCAGTTGAGGCCTTGTGTCTAATGGACGGTACATTAATATCAGCCACTGTAACTCACAATAAATCCTGACTGTACTGTGTGTTTACGTCAACCTTATCATCCACCCTGTAGGCAGGAAGCTTCAATTCAATTTCAATTTCAATTGTTTATTCCTTGATAGAGGAAGCGGGATCCTAGTGTTGTCACTAGGTACCCCTGTACAATGACACCAGAAGCATCTGGCAAGTGTGACAAGTATATACAATATAAATATTATAAAGAGGCTTACTAAAGCCTAAGGAAGGAAGGATATTCCTTTAACAAATCATCAATATTATTTACATAATATCTGGCCAGTATGGGGAGGATCATCGTGTCTCCGTCAGGGGGTCGTGGAGTGGTGGTCCAGCAGGCGTCACGGAAGCGTTGTGTGTGGGCAGGAAGCTTCTCTAACACGTTATTATTGAAGCTTAGTTCATTTTAACCAATTTACTTGATGATAAAATTATAGTGTAATTTATTGTAACCAACATTTCTTCAGTATTGTATGTAGTGAAGACGTCAGCAAGAAACTACCATGAGTTCTTACTGAATGGTATACAGTAGTTACGTATTAAGATACACTAAACTAATGTGTACATTATCTTGAGACAAATACTGTATTCTGTCGGGAGTTTAGTAACATGTACAAAACCGCAGCAGTGCGTCTGGGATATGTTTTCTATGTTTTAACTTATTATATTGAAATATATGTGTTGTCGTAGTATACAAGTGCTTTGACTATACCTCACACACACACTACTAATATGTTGAGGGTGCCAAGAGGTCAAAGATTATTAATGTTACGGAATAAAGAAGTACATTCTGTGCCTCCACGCGGGTAACTAACCTAATGACTTATATTATTTTAAAACATTGTGATTATGTAGTAAGCGAGGTTGAAGGCTCCACAAACCCTCAGAAAGTTAAATATATCACTTATAATCAATCTCATTTGGAAATTTAAAAATCATAATATAACCTTAGTTGAGAAGTTTCATAGTTAAACCAAACGTAGTGAAAGAATCCAACTTTACTTTGGCTAGAAAGTAATGGCGATACAAAATCTTTATCACATTCTAAAAAATATTGAAATTATTGACGGGAAAAATTATTCAGGTGAATTTTTTGGGGCAGCACTTGATCTAATTTCATCCAGTACAGAACTTTATTTTCTTACCTCTATCACTCACAATAACCAAATATTACTTTCAATCTTCAACCACCTTATCCCCTGGCCATTACATACATACAATTCAGGTAAAAAAATCCTCCTTATCACACAGAATATTACAGGTGTCTGGCAGATCGTGACTGATATAGATATACTAATATAGAACAAGAATATAGGTTGAGGCGTCCAAGCATAACATATCTTTATCTACTTTGAGAAGAATATCAGGAATGGGATATAAGTTGTCTTGCATTATTTTTGATCTAGATAGTAGCCCTTCTGACGTGATCCAGTTGATGTGGGTAATAGGGACAGTTCACACTAACACACAGATGTGGGTGACTGTGATAAGACTTCCTCTGTGTTATTACCGTATCGGCTCGGCAATTGACGTCCCCATACTCTCCCTCTCTACACTCACTCACTCTCCCTCCCTACACTACCTCCCACTTACACTCACTCACTCTCCCTCTCTACATTCTCACTCACCTCTCACACTCAACACTCTCTACACTCACTCACTCTCCCTCCCTACATCTCCTCTGCAGGTTTTGACCACATCAATAAATACTGAATGCGTCAAAAGGTGGGTTTTAATCATTCCCTTCGACTTGCCCGTCACCTGAACATCCTTAACCAAGGCGTTTACAGGATAGCTTCAGACATATGCTCGTTAGCTCGTTAGTTCGTTTGTGGTTCGTGAGCTCGAAGTGAAATTTGTTGTGCCATTGTTTCTTAGTATGAAAATTGTGCAATATTTTCCTGTGCCATTTTTTCCAGTGCCATTTTTTTCGAGTACGGTGTATTTAATGTATAATGTAAGAATAATTGGGTAATAATGTGGTGTGTTTTGACAAATGCTAAGTTGTTTCTTTTGTTTTGATAATTGCATATTTTGCTTTAATTGTTTTATTTAATGTACCTAATAAACTAACTAACTCAATACTTAATATAAATGTTATTAAATTACTAAGTTCACATGATATTCTTCTTACTCCTTACATAACTTAAATTTGTCTGTCACAAACAGTGATTCTTGTGAGTGTGTTCCCTACTTGCTGCATCCACGTATTTCAACCCCTAGATTAATCACTCTATATTTTTACTTGTCGACTTTGCCTTTCCTCAATGTTGCGGGTAGCGAGGAGGGGCATCACAGTATGTATGTTAATTGATTTGCGGATCGTGTTCCGGGGTAATGGTTAGCCAGTGCAGTTGGCGAGTTGTCCTTTGTTCTTGGACTATACCTTGACACTGGGTCATGCAGCTCGTTAACTTAGGGTGTGGTTGTTGTGTTGATGACAGCTTCTACACTTTAAACAAATTCACGCCTAGGTGGCCCTAGGGCCGGCCATCCTCGTTACACGAGGGGAAACCATTATGTATGTATGTATGTATGAATGTATGTATGTATGTATGTATGTATGTTAAAGGGCTATCTCTTTTCTAGTAAGAACTCATGGTGGTTTGTTGCTGACGTCTTCACTAGATACCAAGGAAGTGTTGGTTACAATAAATTACATTATAATTTTATCGTCAAGTAATTTGGTTAAAATGAACTAAGCTTCAATAATAACGTGTTAGAGAAGCTTCCTGCCTACAAGGTGGATGATAAGGTTGACGTAAACACACAGTACAGTCAGGATTTATTGTGAGTTACAGTGGCTGATATTAATGTACCGTCCATTAGACACAAGCCTCAACTGAGGTATTCACGATACTGTAATTTGCATAATGATTAATTTCCATAATATTTGCATGAAAACAAAGCTTATTCAGATAAATACAAATTAATGATAACAAATAAATACATAAGGTGGTGGTTGACAAAGGTGATTGATATATCTGTGTTTGGTTATTAATATAATTACTGCTAATGACCTAGAAATAATAACTAAGAGAACATCCACTAATAAATATTAATTAATGATTATAAATAATGTTTTAGGTTATAGCAACAGTAATAGTTAGTAAATATTTAAGTTAAGTTAAGTTAAGTACTAATTAATTTAAACCGTTTAATGTTTGATGATATCTTCCTCCTCCAACCCCTGGAAGATCTGCGAAAAATAACAAAACAATATTACTGATAGAAAGCGTCTGGATTAATTAACTATTACAATACATGAACGAGTAGTTAACTTTATGGATATACTATTATGTTTATGTTATCTCTCTCTCTCTCTCTCTCTCTCTCTCTCTCTCTCTCTCTCTCTCTCTCACCTCTCGATCGTTCAGTGGCTGAATGGGGCGGAAGTTGTCTTGCATGGCCTCACCGTCCTCAAACTTCAGCGACCTGAACATCTTCAGCTGCGTGTGGGAGAATGACATAAACTTTTTTATTTCATTTCTTTTAGTTTCTTAAATAAATATATAAGGACAAGGCAACTGCACTAATGACTATACTCCTCCAACCTTTGACCTCATTAGTAAGTGAAGACTTAGACAATACCTGAGCGGAAGAGACGGTGATGTGACGCTTAAACACTGTCCAGGTCACGACTTGGTTACAGCCGGGGGTGGTGAGGGATCCCTGGTAGCGGTAGAACTCAGTGAGGGAACGAGGAAGGATTTCCATCAGAGGGAAGGGCTTGATGGTGGTGCTGTCCTCTGTAGGGTGACATTGACATTAGTCATGGCTCCTGTTATTGTTTTTGTTATTATCTTAAATTTGTCCATCATGTTGTCATTATTAGTAGTTTTCTTGTTACAATACTGGATGTTATTTGTTATTATTACTACTACATAAAGACCAGCACTGACCCGGGTTTGTGATGCTGGAGAGCCCGGCTACAACATTATGCAGGCTGGGATTATCCTCTTGAGAATGTTCGAGGAAGACCGCGAACACCGCCACACCGTCAGACTTCTTCAGTGCCGCCTCCATACTGCCGTACTCCGTCTTGTAGAACACCAGGTGAAGCTCTGAAGCCCACCTGTCGCAGTAGAGTGAGATAGGTTTATATCTAGTGTGTTCTAATGGTTGTGAACACCAGGTGAAGCTCTGAAGCCCACCTGTCGCAGGAGAGTGAGATAGGTATATATCTAGTGTGTTCTCGTGGTAATGAACACCAGGTGAAGCTCTGAAGCCCACCTGTCGCAGTAGAGTGAGATAGGTATATATCTAGTGTGTTCTCGTGGTAATGAACACCAGGTGAAGCTCTGAAGCCCACCTGTCGCAGTAGAGTGAGATAGGTATATATCTAGTGTGTTCTAATGGTTGTGAACACCAGGTGAAGCTCTGAAGCCCACCTGTCGCAACACCAGGTGAAGCTCTGAAGCCCACCTGTCGCAGTAGAGTGAGATAGGTTTATATCTAGTGTGTTCTAATGGTTGTCAACACCAGGTGAAGCTCTGAAGCCCACCTGTCGCAGTAGAGTGAGATAGGTTTATATCTAGTGTGTTCTAATGGTTGTCAACACCAGGTGAAGCTCTGAAGCCCACCTGTCGCAGTAGAGGTGAGATAGGTTTATATCTAGTGTGTTCTAATGGTTGTCAACACCAGGTGAAGCTCTGAAGCCCACCTGTCGCAGTAGAGTGAGATAGGTTTATATCTAGTGTGTTCTAATGGTTGTGAACACCAGGTGAAGCTCTGAAGCCCACCTGTCGCAGTAGAGTGAGATAGGTTTATATCTAGTGTGTTCTAATGGTTGTGAACACCAGGTGAAGCTCTGAAGCCCACCTGTCGCAGTAGATTGAGATAGGTTTATATCTAGTGTGTTCTAATGGTTGTCAACACCAGGTCTGTGTTAGTTATTGTGCCAGCGATGATGTAACTGATCTGTTCTACACTGAAGTGGGAACTATATCATTAATGTTTCCTACGATTGTAATCTGATGTTTCCATTGGCTGTGACTTCATGGAAAGACAAGACTAAATCT